GACATAAAAAGGACAAAGGATGAAGTTCAATGATAGAGTGACCCCGGGGTTCAAGTCCCATTACTGGAAAAAAAAAAAAAAAAGACAATAACACCATGCAAATAACTACCAAAAAAACCCATAAAGCTACAAAACTATAATCAAGATAATCCAGACATCAAGAAATATCAACTGTTAATATTTTCTGTATTCTTTCAAATCTTTCAATGCATTTAGCTCTAAATTTTCATAATTTTTTTCCTGACAAAATTGGAATCATATACAACTCTGCATTCAGCTTTTTAACTTTACTAAATGAATATTTCTAATAATATCTGAAATACTGAATTTTATTAAACATTCCTATTTATGTTAGACACTGATGGGTATAACTTGATATGCTTCTTACTAATAAAGAAAGAATATCTCAAATTTAGAAAAAGGATCATTTTATAAGGATCAACAAATAAAAGAATGACCACTGTAATTTACATAGGAGAAATAAAATTAAAAGAATATTCATTTGATGTGTTTCATGATAGCTATTGATAAATGGATTTTATAAGAAAATCAGACAACAGAGATGAAAAATAAGTTAGTTATTACTTGAGGTTCTTTCAGTTTCCCTTATATAATTGTGAACTTGTAGTGAAGCTCAACTGAGTTACCATACACAAAGTACACATAACTTATGCCAATTTATTTGTATTGACATGTAAATAATGTCAATAAATATTGGTTATTACTGTCATATCATGACAAAAACTAGTTCTACAAGGAAGTAGTATTCACTGCATCGAAAAAAGCGGGGGGTGGGGGGGACACTGAAATATAAAATTTATATTTCTATTGGTTTCTTCCATTTTTTTTCTATCTTCTCTATATTTATATGCTCAATGCAGTTAAAGTATCATTTTAGAGGCATCAGTAAATATATACTTTATCCTTAATTATACTATAAGACACTTGACAGAATGAATAAGTATGAATGTCATCTATTCTAACTTTTCCCTATATGGCAGAAAATAGTAATATACACCGTGGGTACTCAAATGTTAATGTCACAGGTCCTTATTAGGACAGAGAATAATAAAACAACAACGAAGCTATAATCAAAACTGGGATACTAAAAGCAAGCGATCTTAAAGCCAATATCAATATACCACAACTCAGACATAGAACAGAGTGAAATAGAGAGGGAGAAAAAAGCTTTGTTGTTCTCCTCAATGAACAGACCACACACTCTTTGCTTTTTTTTCTGGGTACAACAATTTAAGAGGAATACTAAAAATGCTGGATCGTATCCAAAAGAAAGCAACTGAGAAAGAACTAACTGAAGACACTCTGACTCAAAAATAGAGAGGGTGAGCTCTTCTGCTGTCTTCTTCCATTTTCAATAATAAGAAAAGCTATCCCTATGGAAAATGCTTTAAGATTTCTGTGCTATCCAGAGACAACTATCAAAAGATGCCAGTATAAATATCTCAACTTCTTTCAATACAAAAGCTTAAAATAACAGATCTCTTCTAAGAAAAAGATGTTATCAGAGATTAGTCATGAAGTTGGAAAACAGCTTGCCAACTGTGCTATGGAAAACCTCCAAGCCAAGGATAATTGGTTGAATTCTAAGTTTCCTTATAACCCCATAACTAAATCAATAAATATTTACTGAATCTATGCTCCAGAAAGCATATCCATAGGTCTATTGTCCTAGATTTATAACATATACAAAATCAAAAAGTAAAGAGGGAGAAACATACAATGAGCTCTGCTATCAATGAACTCACAACAAATAGTATATTAAATGTGTATTACAATTTCAGACCACAACAGGTATCTTAAAATTTACTGCCAAATAAATTCCATTCAAAGCACTATTTACTAAATGCCAAATGAATTCTATTCATATATAAAGGTCTTTATGAGGGGAAGATCCTTAAGCTTAAAATGATCAGAAAAGCCTTTTTAAAATAAATGATATATAAGGTTCTTATGGGAAAATGTGTATGAAGATTTTGAACAGGAGGAGAGAAGTAGGAATGGGGAGAACAGTACAAATAGAAATGAAAATCAAGTTAGAGAGAAACCTGTTTGGCTACATTAAAAACTTGTTTCATGGGAAAAGAGATAAGCTGGGGAAGGGCAGGTTATGGCCAGAACCAACTGTACTGAGCCTTGAATACCAGTCTACGTAGTTTCAAATTTATCCTGCTTACAGTCTCTGTAGCAACTGTTCAACTCTGCTGTTGAAGTCATAGAAGATAGTAAATGATTGGTATGACTGTGTTCCAAACTGAAATTTCAAACTCATATATTTCCATGTGTTACCGATTATTGTTAGTCCTTTAATTTTCTTTTTCCTTCAATAATTTGAAAATGTAAAAATCACTCTTCACTTAAAGGCCATAGAAAAACAGGCTGTGAACTGGATTTGGCAGTGGGCCACAGTGTGCCAATCCCTATACACCAAGCTGCCTTCCTTCAGCAGTGCTCTAAGTACAACTGTCCTCAAGTTTCAGGGACCAGAATAATATATTATTCATCAACAACTACATACACGTACACAGGCAAGCACACACCTAATCAAGATCTAGATCCCAGGCTGGGGATGTAGCTCAGAAGTACAATGCTTGCCTACCATGTACCAAATCTCTGGGTTCCATCCCCAACATCACAAATTGAAAAACAAGAAACAAGCAACAAAACAACAACAACAACAGCAACAAAACCTTCCTAGATTGTTAATAATAACCACTACACTAGATGCAGGAAATTTTGAAATTTTAAGTTTGGTAGTTATTTTCACATGGTATAGGTACTTAGAGTAATAATGAACTATTCATATAAGGCTCAAAGTTATATGAAGGGATCTATAGAATATAATTTTAAAAAATGGTAGCAAGGGACCTAATTCTAGTATTTGCTTGGCCATCTACTCATTATGTGACCCACAACTAGTCACTTTCAATCCTCTAGCCCCAATTCTCTCATCTGAAAAGTGAAGGGGTTTAACTTACTAGATGTTCACTATGCTCTCTTAGCTTTAACATTAATGATTCTATTACTATGGAGAAGATCCAGTCAGGGGATGACAAAAATCAAACAAAAGTGAAAATTAAGAATACAAAAAAGAATAGAAAGGCCTTGATTAAGTGAGTGGGCAGAGAGAATGTGCAGATTACTAAAATCAAGAATCGATTTTAAAAAAAGAATGCTACAGAAAATCCAAGGAAGAGAAGAGTATGGCCAAAGAAAAAAAACTAGTTGGCTAGCTAAAAAAGGCATGGACCTCAAGTGACAGTCTTCAGATTTGAGAGTACTGTGTATGCTTCCAGAAATCATGAAAGGAAAAGACAACCTCAGATGAGAATAAGGAATAGAAAATAAAGGCATATGATCCAGAAAAAGTAGAAAGAAAACGTTATGATGAGTTTGAAGTCTCAGATAAGGGAATTAATCTTTACATTTCCATCAGGTGAAAGCAGTAGCATTGGGATCTCAGTTTTTACACACACAAATAAGTTCCTATGAAGCTGTATAACTGTATCAAGATTTCTATAAATCAGTTAGGGAAATAAATCTAATGGTGGGTTTCTTAAAGCAAAGTTCCACCTGTGTTATATTTTCTAATAATCAAAAAATTAAGAAAGGATTAACTCTACTTTTCATAAGAATGAAAACCAGCAATATGCATATCTAAAAGGAAATGCATGTTTACACCTTTCTCTTAGCACCTATCACTTCCTTCCTTGCATAAGAGTTACTTATGCAATATAAAGTACCTAACCCCTGATAGGAGCACTGGTTTTCCCTTTCTAAGTAGCTTAAAAAGCTACCGAGGCAAGATTTCTGATTAATTCATCTGTTTATCTGCTTTGCAGAGTTATGATGCTTGGTGAATAAATACTGACACAAAACTCTGCTTCAAAAAAAAAAAATCCCTGCAAAACAACTATCACTATCCATCTGATAAAGCTGGGAAAATATTTGTATCATAAAGGTACATAACTTCAATAGTATTACTTTTGCATTGTGTTTGAGCTTGCTTATATAGCAAAGAAATTGCCACAAAGCAACTAAAAAAGGCCGAAAAGTTGAGGAATGTATGATCACTCGTAAACATAGTTAATTTCAACTCAACACTCGCCTCTACTTAAGATATATGAGAAATAAAAATCCAAAGCATTAGCCTGATGATCACCAGTTAAAAATACATGTTTGAATGCGCTGGAGATATTTATAAAGCCCAAGAGAGATTCTATTAATATATTGAAATTCACTGGCCAGTGCAGGATTCTACCCTTAATCTTCTACTACTATTCAAGGGAAGCCAAAGAGTCAAGGTTTCTCCTATCACTTGCTTTTAAGAATTTAAGAAGTCACCCAAGTGGACATACACAACCCAAGGGTCCAAAAGTAGCTCAGCTCTCCATATGGTAATGCTCAGCTATCTCCTACCTTTACAGGCAAGTTCCATTTATTAATTTAAGGATCTCTGGTAGGCCCCGTTTAGGCAGGCCAATAGTACTACGAAGCAACAGAAGTTGAAAAAAGTCCTAACAGTAAACTCTGCCCTCCCACAGATCTCAACTTATGTGTAGATTTCAGAAGCCCTGTAAGCTATACACTGCCACTGTCAAAACCCGAAGAAGCACCGTCACCCTGTCGTGCCCATCGGCAAGTGTTCCAGAATGTTTTCTTTGAAATGATCTCTCTTGGCTCTACTTGTACAATGTGGACTTCAAAGGCCACCTTACCCCGCAGCGCAGGACCTGGCTCCTAGCGTCCGCTCCTTTATTTGTCCACCCCGCTACCCCGAGAGCGGTCTCGGTTCCCGACCGCGGACATCCAGCCGTCCCCCAACTGCTCGCCGCGCCCGTCTACACCCGCCGCACACCTCCTGAGTCGCCCACCGCCCAGCGCGCACTCCGGCCGGACCGGCGGCCAGCGCGCTCGCCCAGGCCTGCGTAGCCTCGAGCGGCCGCAGGCCTCGGGCCTAGCCTCCGCCGATGGCCCCTCACCTCTTTCGGGACCAGTTGGTTCTCCTCGCCAGGCACCATCGCTCAGACTCTGGCCGCTCCTCTCCACCCTGCCGGGGGAGGGGGAGGGTGGCGGCGGCTCTCTGTCTCAGGAGAGAAGAGCGGCGGCAGTCATCCTCTCCGCCGCCCGCCTTCCGGCAACCGTGGAGGCCTCAGCTTGGGCCTTAGACACCAGCGCGCAGACACCGACCCCAGGCTCAGCCGCTGCCGCCGCCTTCGTCGCCGGCCCCTCCCCCAGCCCGCTGCAATCAATGGAAAAATGGCGGCGGCTGCTCTCGCGAGAATTCGTCCAGTCGGGCGCCCGGCCCGGCGCCTGCTGCACAAAGTTCCCAGGCAGTTGCCGCTCGCTTTTAATCGACTCGGCTCTTACTCGGCCCCTGGGCATACGAAACCGGTTGTGGGGCTACGTAAACGCTTTTCCTTAAACGAAAGCTGGGCCTTGCATACCGGGACTCCCTCTGCCGGCAGGGAAAGGATAGGCCCCGGAGTCCTCCGTGCCTTCTTGGACTGTTGGACTTCATGCTTATCAGGAATAACTCAACCCCAAAGCCCCTCTCTGACCTTATCACTGCTGCTCTCCTCGCTCCTTGATTGCACAGCGCCTCAACATCAGCCCCTCTCCAAACACCCCTGGCCTCTTCCTGGCGAAGAGAACACCAGGAGCTACCTTCTGGCCTCTCACCAGTCCTTCCTGACTCTAGCCTTTGAGTCAGAAAGGACTGCGTTTTATTTGCCCTTCTTACTCCCCTAGAGGAGATAACACCCCAGGCCCAGGCCCATAAAGCACAGTTATCACTGCCCCCTCCCCCACTACATTGGAGAGGTGCTCCCCTGCCCCTGCCTGAGCGCTGCCTCCTCCAACAGGGCCAAGTCTGGGACTGAGAGCCCTTCTGAGAGTAGGGCTGCAGGATGCTGCAACCTATAATCTTTAAAAATGATTTTGGAGAACTTTAATCTTTTCTGGCAGTAAGCATTGTGCTATGTGTTAAACCAAACAAATGTGGAACAGTTATTTTTCCTAATTCCTATTTCTTGAATTATGAAGACTCAGCAAGGCATCCTTCATGAAGACTTCTATGAGTACAGTGATCTTACAGGATGAGATAATATAATCCTGCCCTGTTCCTAACACCCACAGCATCAACTACCCGTACCTGTGTTCTGTGTTCTCCAAAAATTTTTTGATTGTATGATAGCCACATATTTATGTAAGTTATATGCGTGTCCTGCTGTGTATGATGTTTTTAAACATTTGTGAAATGTAAAAAAAAATAATACGATGAAGGTCAAATAAACACTTATAATAACTTAGTTTTAAAAATATTAATGGTATAAAAAATCTATTACCCCTCAAACTTAAAATAATTAGTGAACTATGATTGACTAAGTTTAAAAAAAATCTTTAATACTTTGTGAAACAACTACTAAAATGTCTTATTGAACATCCAGGCTATTTCTGTACTTGGTAATAATGTCTGTTATAAGCTGAAACAGGTAACTCATAAAAATGTAGCCCCAGGGTTACTGCTCTTACAAATACAGGTATTCATTTTTATCAGTTCCATCAACTCACATGCAAAGATTTTTGTTGAAATTCAACTAGTAATTTTCCTTCTTTCCTAATTTCAACCAGAACATGTTGCATTTTTATATTTTTAATAAACAGGCTCAAAACTCTTTGAATACATTGCTCAGAAGATTTCTTAAGGGATTGAAAACTTCTGTCTTCAAGTATACATGTATGAGTTTGAAGGGAGTAGTGATCTTATCTTTATTTTAAATCTTGATCATCATGGATCTCTAAAATTAACTTTTTAAAATATTGCACTAAGATTGTTTATCGTGACTACTGAAATTTTGATGCTGCCTTAAATTTTGTGTCAGAGGTAAACAACTCACTTGCCTCACCCTGGCCCCGGCCTTTAGCAACACAGATGCAGCATTTTTTATACCAGATCACATAATAGCAGTATTTCCAAATCTCTTTTTTCAAAATATCATCCCCATTACTTGTGAAGTGGCTTTGCAGAGCTCATGCTAGAAGTAGAAGTGTCATCTCTATCATTATCTTTTTGGTTAGACTTGCACTTTTCTATCCAACTCATGATTCTGATACTGCTTCCTCTCATGTTGCAGTTTAAACATTAGAGAAGCAGGCAGAGGCAAGCATATAAAACAGGGTTTATTTAAAAAGGAGTAACATAGACTTCTCCTGGGAGGGAGAGGGGGCTGTAGCTGGTATCCTGGTATCCCCAGAAGCCAAGTGTTCTGCCCTTTTTTATATGTCCTAGGCTTCCTTTGTTCTCCTGCCCTCTTCCCCTATCTTTTTCCTTCCTGCAAACAGAATAGACCTAAGAAATGCTTGGTGGGATGGCCAAAAGGTGGGGAACCGGTGAGCTGGAGGGGGAAGGGAGCAGCCAAGAACACATTAATTAACAACCTTATGGCTCCCTATAGGGAGGGGCAATTCCTGGGTTATTTTAGCAACAGGTTGGAGCACAGGGAGGTTTTTGGTAAGGGTGGAGGAAAGGCTCTGAAGGAATTAACATTTCAGCCCTCAGGGGACAGTCTCTAACTTCCCAGACTCACTCAAAATTGGCTTCCTTGATCTGACCTGATTCGATTTACCTATCTATACTGACTGCCTGTCTAATTCTGACTTCAATTCCTTTCCAGAAATCTTTTTTAGACACCCTCATTTTAGTAAGAGTGGATTTAATGAAATAATAGTGTAATTGTTAAATCTACTTAACTCAGCTCATATTAGCCTGAACAAATCCCAATACCCTGAAAAGAAATAAAATGAAAGAATCCGTGAATTATTCTGATGTTGCAGAACTCACACTTTTCACTACAAAATAATGAGATACCAGTGTTTATCTATATAACTACATATTGGTAAGGCTTAATTTTTTTTCTGGATTTATATAAACAAAACAAAGTTTTAAAACATCCCAAATTTAAATTTAACCTACACAGAATATTTAGTATCCAAGTCTCTCCCATCACTTCTCCTCTATCTCGATAAGTTACACCATCATCAATTCAGTCTATCAAGCCCAAAACCTGAGACTCTTCATGTTATATCAATCCATGAAAATTTGTTACTGCTTCTACCTCTGAAGTATATCCCAAGTCCTATCACTTCTCGTATATCCCATTCCATTCCAAGTCACTCCATCCTCTTTCTTGGATTATTGCAGTTGCCTCCTCACTGTTTTCTCAGCTTCAACTTTTTTTTTTCCATGTAGCATTTTATTTTTTATTTGTTCTTTTTAGTTATACATGACAGTAGAATGCATTTTGACATATCATACATACACGGAGTATAACTTCCCACTCTTGTGGTTGTACATGATGTGGAGTTACACTGATTGTAGACTTGCCACCTCTTGTGAGTCAGCATCCACATATCAAAGAGAATATTTGGCCTTTGGTTTTGGGGGATTGGCCTATTTCATTTACCATGATAGCCTCCAGTTCCATCCATTTACCAGCAAATGCCCTAATTTCATTCTTCTTTGTGGCTGAGTAATATTCCTTTGTGTATATATACCACATTTTCTTTATCCATTCATCTATTGAAGGGCACATAGTTTGGTTCCATAGCTTAACTATTGTGAACTGAGTTGCTATGAACACTGATGTGGCCGTGTCATTATATACTACAGTATGCTGATTTTAAGTCCTTTGGGTATATGCCAAGGAGTGGTATAACTGGGTCAAATGGTGGTTCCGTTCCTAGTTTTCTAAGGAATCTCCATACTGTTCCAGAGTCGTTGCACCAATTTGCAGTACCATCAGCAATGTATGAGTTTATCTTTTCCCCACATCCTCGCCAACATTTCTTGTCACTTGTATTTTTGATAGTTGCCATTATGACTGAAAGGAGATGGAATCTTAGTGTAGTTTTAATTTACATTTCTCTAATTGCTAGAGATGTTGAACATTTTTTCATACATTTGTCGACCATTCTGTTGTTATGCCAGATTCGTGGGACCCCAATAGACCTCCAGGAGCTGAATCCGATGCAATCACACAAGTGTCTTTATTGCAAGCTTGAGCCTGGACTTACAACCATTCCCGATGCAGCGGTCCCAGGGAGTGAGTACTGGTCCTTTGTTCAGTGAGATTTTATAGGTTTTGGGGGATACTCTGTGTCACAACATCACACAGCAAATCATTCCATACCGTGGGAAAATCAAACAACAACTCTTAACATTGATTAGCACATTCAATGGCGGGAACAAGTTGGGTAGGGGTGATTGGTTAGTACAATTGGGGGATTCATTTGAACTGATTGGTTTAGGCCACGAGGGGTGTATGTGCTAAACTACATGGTTTCTCAACATGTTATCAACCACCATAAACTACTTGGGGGTCATCTGGCATTCCAGGTATTCCCCCCCCCCTCAAGCTGAGTGGAGGTTGCTAGGGGGGTTGCTATGGGTCCTCACCTAGCCTAACTGAGTCAGGGACACCTGGAGCCACAGACCCCTCCTGTTATTTACAGACAAACAACTCAGCAGGGTGGGTATGTGCTTAGGGTTTTTCCAAGGACAAGGGTCATGCCCCCTTCCTTGGACAGGCTTTGCTCTGAGGTAGAGGCTGGTTTCTCAAAAATGGAGTCACATTAGTTTCTCACTGTATTTCTTCTTCTGTGAAGTGCCTGTTCAGTTCCTTTGCCCATTTATTGATTGGGTTATTTGTGGGGAATGGTATTTTTTTGAGTTCTATATATATCCTGGAGATTAATGCTGTGAAGACTAGCTTCTACTTTTTTTAATATTTATTTTTTTAGCTGTAGTTGGACACAATACCTTTATTGTTTTTATTTATATGTGGTGCTGAGGATCAAACCCAGGGCCTCGCATGTGCTAGGCAAGTGCTCTACCGCTGAGCCACAACCCCAGCCCTAGCTTCTACTTTTAACACTCAGAATAAAATCTACATTCTTTGCCAAGGCCTATAAAACCCAATCTAGCCCATCACCTTACTTTGCTTCTCTACCACTCTTCCTTTTACACGCATCCACCCAGCCACATATCAGTCTGGCGAGACTCAGAGGCCAATCCTCTGTCCTTCTCATGTCTTTGGGAATATTTTCCTTTCTCTCTTCACTTTAAAGTGTTCATAGGACAAATCTAATCAAAACATGGGGGGAAGGAGGGAATTACATAAACCCAGATTGGGAGACATTTCCAAGATACCTAATCAGTATTCCTCAAGAATCA